GTAACGTAAAAAGCAATGGTGTGCTGTGATTGTGAACCAATCACAATTAGGCCTCCAGTTATTTATGGTGGTCTGATAAACAATGTCTTATTTCTGATTGGCTATTATAGGTTCTCGCACACCATTGCAATAAATACATTTATTAAACTGACTCTAAACTCGGGAGTTAAATTTAAAATTCATTCAAGTACCTTAACTATTAACAAAAATGTATCTTATTTGTGTATCGCTCAGTTGTAAATCCTCAAATCATCTCTGAATTGGTGCTGACACTGTCCTTCCTTCTGGAGGGTGGCTACTTTCTTTCCCATGGTCCCCGTGTGTGTTGTAAAGTAGCCACTGCTCCAAGCCTGCTCACTGTGGACTGTAATCTCACATTTAGTTTACTAACTTGTATTGAAATTGTATTCCATTGTGGGAGTGAGCTCGGAGTGGTGGCTACTTTACAACACACACAGGGACAATGGGGAACAAAAGTAGACCCCCTCCAGAAGGAAGGACAGTGTCAGCACCAATTCAGAGATGATTTGAGGATCTACAGCTGAGTGATACACAAATAAGAAACATTTTTGTTAATAGTTAAGGTAGTTGAATGCATTTTAAGATTTAACTGCTGAGTTTAGGGTCACTTTAAATGGAAGGTCATGCAAATAATCTGGTCTCTTTTCGTCACCTGTCCTTTACTGCCCTCTGGTGGTGAAGAAACAATTCAATGTTTGTGCTGGTAATTCTTTCAATGCTGAAATTCCTTGTCTGTATTAAGTGCACTTACCTTTTCTTTGTTCTACGATAATAAATCTTATATTTCTAACATTCTCCTCTGTCTCTTGAATTCCTTCTTAGCCTTCTATCCTTGCTTTACTCTTTCTGTCCTTTTCACATAGAAATACTTCAAAGACCAGTATGCACGCATTATCTATAGCCGCTTATTTACTTATACATTTGTTCTAACTGCAACAATTATGACCCTGTTTTGTAAAAATCAAGGGCAGTAATTCATAGCAGACCGTCACCCTCCTTTTTCCTTTAGTTTACTTAATATTAATTTTGATTGGCTGATGGTCGCCGCACTCAGCACTTATATGAGCACAGGGATATATCTCTGGTAGTACAGCCTGCAGTACTAACAGCATATGTGAATACCTTTTTACTACTCAGTGGAGTTGTTTTTGCTTCAAATAATACAATTCTGTTTGTGCCCCTGCCCAAGGCTTAGCTCACACTGGCTTCCGCTTGTATAAGAGTGAACAGTGAGCCTTTAATAAGCATTGGTAGAGCTTTCGGCAAGCTTTTGTGACACTTTGGAAGCACCATTCATCTTCTTTTTGTGAATTGTAAATATAGATCTTAATGGGAGTGCTGGCTAGTGCTGGCGGGTTAATTGCATGTTAATGTCTAGAGAGGGTTTGTAAAGGACCTTAACTCGCCTGATTGGCAGTTCGTGCTCACCTCATCTGCCCTACACTCCTGCATGTGGACTGTCCCTCGGAATCCTCGTGTATAATGCAGAGCTATGGGCCCTGCATTGCACCTGATAAAGTTAGCAAGTCTATGACCACTGGAGTGTAGTGGGGAATAGGCTGTGGGCATTGGTTTTTGGAACCTGTGGGAGTTGGAATCGGGTAAGTAAAATACCACTAGACAAAAATGAGCACTAGCGGTAGCCCCACTGCAGGGGTAGTTTTTTGTTTTTTACCCCTGGAGATAGGCTTTAACCCCTTCATGACTGAGCTTGTTTTTGGTTTCTGTTCGTAAATGACTGACACACTTTTGACATTTTTGCTGTGTGATTCTTCCACGTCAGTAATATACTTTCTTACAAAGTGCACCCACACATATTATATATTGTTTTTTAGAGGACAGATAGGGCTATATATTTATATCACATATGTGTGTCTAACGCCTCACTTAGGACAAATACAAATTAAAAAAAGAGGAAAAAACGTTAAAAAAAACCTTTTTTTCCCAGTTTTGATTTGTAGTATTTTTTTTTAACAAAACCAGCACAGCTAAAAAAAAAATCAATACATACATTCATTTATTTGTCCCTTATTTTTAATTTTTTTACACTTTTCACTATTTTTTTTAATTTATTTACACTTTTCACTTTTTTTATACTGACAAATTTTATTTATTTAATTATATCAGGCAGTCATTGTGAATTAATCTCACTATTACTGCTTGATAAATTAATACATTTTTTTTATTATCAGGCTGCTTCAAACTTCAGAACAGCCGATAATAAGTTAGTGACACTGATCCTGCAGCAGTTCAGGATTCAGCTGTCAGTGAATGTTTCAGAAAACTTAAACATTCTACTTTCAAGAATAGATACATTATGTGTCTAATACATAACATTTTGTATCTATTCTTGAAAGTCAAAAGATAAAAAAAAAAAAAGCCAGTATAGCTTGAGAGAGATATCTCTCGATCTATACGAGCTGTCAGAATGCCGGCAAAAGCCGACATGTGTGTCCGCTTTGCTGTGACTCTCAGACACCCGATATTAAGGTATCGGGTGTCTGAAAAAGGTTAACCCTTTCAGTAATGGATCTCTAGATAGTTAGACATCTATTACTGAAAGGTAACCGCTGATTCTCAGCGGTTAGCAGCCTTCTAGTGCAGCAAATAACTCGTCACGTACAGTGTACGTGACGAGTCATTTGGTCCCTTTGTGGCTGGACGTACAGTGTACGTCTCCCGTCACGAAGGGGTTAAACAAGCTGCTAGAAAGCTCCTGTAAACTTTAGCATGACATGAAGCTTGTTGAAAGTCTGCTGAAGCCTGCTAGCAACTTTAAACTGCACTCCCATTAAGATCTTTGCTTAACATGCCCATGCTGGAGCTGAAGGATTTAAAGGCTTCAAGAAAGCAGCTTGAAGCTTGCTGAAAGCCGAACAAATGCTTTGCAAAATTTTGTCAAAAACTTGGTGTTCACACTGCCCTTATATAAGCTGAAGCCCACGTGAACTAGGCCTAAGGATGAGTGTACATGAGTGTCAGACTCGGAAGCAAGTCAAATACTGCATGATTTCAAGAATAGTGAATTGTATTTGATATCAGTCTGAGATGAATTTGGGATAGCATTTATAATATTTTTTGGGGAGGAAGAAAAACAAAGCAGGGTGTAGTAAGCACCATATTCACTGTATGGAATTCTAATCTGCATGTCTGTGTGTGCAATAGATTATCCCAAACTTTCTAAATTCATATACTTGCAAATCTAGAGCAAGTGTCAGTATTGTCTGTAACAACCAATCACATTTCTTAATTTTACCTTTGCCACTGACATTTATGCAGATGTCCTTTTCAATATTTGCATATATTTCCAAGGGAGGATTGTCTTATGTCTCCTTACTTGTACTTTGTGCTCCATTAAGGTAACCTTTGAAAATGAAAGAATCTAAATTTGGATGCTGTATACTACACCTCCATCATTCCATTAATTTCAGCTTACACAACCCCTTTTGTTAAATAAAGACATTATATTAGTAATGTCTATTCTTTTGGCCCTGACTGCGTCTGGGCAGTAGCTCTGCGGACGTGCAGCAATCTTGAGAACCGCTGTCCTTTAATCATTTGATAAAGTATTCAAAATAACATTTTTAAAAAGAACAGAAAGTATACAGGATAATTATCTATCTATATATTTATTAGGCTTTTGGCAAATTACTCTTTTAACTCTTTTATGTAGATGACCTTTGTTCTTATTAGATCATTTTGCATTAATAGCTGTGTGCACAGTCCACACACACACACACACACACACTTGTATTTATGAAACAAATAGAAAATAAAGCAAAGGGTTTCAATTGCTTTTTATGTCTCCCTCCTAAAATGTGCTGCCCGAGTTTTCTAATAAAGGTAAGACGTTTATGTCTCCCCCTGGTGGTCTTCAGAAGTTGTGATGAGCATCATGTACAGTTCTTATGTCTTTCACATGTCATCTGCTTCTCACAAACTATTGTGTATGTCTCACCCTTTCTTGAGTCTAAGCTCTGCATGCTACATACCTGAATAGTATTGTTATTATGCTGAAAGCAGGTGCAAATGTGTGCAAACTGTGATGTGCTGTCACTTTCAAAATGTTGGGCAGATGTTTTAGGAAACTACTTAATTTCATGTTTAATAGCCAAAAAACTATTTTGTAACTAGGGGGGTGGAAAGAGTAAGAGTGGGCAGCTTTGATGAACTTTACTAGTTAATCAGTGGGTGTACACTGTTCGGTATCTTTTACTTAATGCATCAAATTCATTTTTCTATTTGTCTTGTGTGTTTTTGATATGTATATGCTGTAGTTTGTTTCCCTTTCACTCTCGTAAGAGAAAAAAACTCCTCTCTGCTGCTGAGAAAATGCAGGCCACATATAATTCAATTTTGCCATTTATTTGCATCAAATGGAATTATATTTTTGATTATTTTTGGGAGTCTTTCACATGTGCCAGCCTCTCTTTGGCCAGGTTAGAAACATTTCAAACACTTCCTTTTTATTTCAGTGTCATAAAAATTAATGGAAATTGATTAGTTCATGAGCACTTTTTTTTTCATATCCTAAAACCATGTATAAATGTTGTTTCTTTAACATATATAGTTGCACCTAAAAGCAGTGCATGTGTTAAAAGGTACTGTAGAGGACTTCGTCATCTGAGAGACTAGAATGTTCTCGTTCCATGCTTTCTGTACGCATCTACTTTTCTATTTCTAAAAAAGAAATCAAGGTAGTAAAAAGAAATCAAGGTAGCGACAAAACACAAAAAGGCCCTTGACTGACTGATTAATAACAATGTATGAGAAAAAAAAGCGTGTTGCCCACTGAAAGTCCATAAGTTTCCATTGTGCTGGGTATAAAATGGAGGATATCAGTTCTGTTACGATGAGCTTTACAGAGCCTTTTTTGTTTGTAAATTTCATAACTCTTTGAGTGTTTTTGTTTTGTGCTCATTCAAGTACAATTTTGTTTTCCTAACCTTAAGACATTGATGTTTTATTTTATTTCACAGTTGACCAGAGCATGTTCCAGAACTCAAATGCAGCCCACATGCCAACGCTTCAACCTAGCTCTTCACTTAGTCAGTTGACAAAGCCTATGCAGAGTAACTCTGACCTGCCAGGAGTTGGCATCCTAGCGGGGAGCACCCAGCACCTGAAGAACCTTGGAAAGGCGGTTGGAGCCAAGGTTAATGACTTCCTACGTAGAAGAGACAATGACCGCAGTGACATTGGCCTCACTGAAGTCAACAAGAATGTAGTATCTGTGCAGTCCAATAAGGAGAGGACAATGAGCCTTGGGGATGAAGAAATGTGAGTCTTTGAGGACTGTATTAGATGTATGCTATTGCTTATATTGCTTTACTGAGAAGTTTGGTGGTTCTCAGAAGGCATGTTGCATGAATTACACATATCCTAACTCTGGTTGATACGTGGTACCACGTTTATGTAAGGTGTACCTATGAAAGACGTATATTATTTTAATAGTTATTAATTCTGTGCATCATATTAACTTAGAATATGATTAAATTGCACTTTGCTTTAAGATTCCCACAGATGTGATATTTCTGTGATACTGGGGATAGCCTCAAGGGTTTATGCACATGGGATTCAGGCTCAGAAGAAAATGAAATGCAGTATGCTTTCAGGAGAAAATAGCTTGCTCTTGACATGCTTCTGAGTTGCTCATAAGAGTTAAGTTCATCTGCTTCTGAGATGTTTTGAGTTGGGTTCATAGTTTTCAAGTGCATGGAAACAAAAGTAGTTGAGATGCAAACAGCTTCTGTTGCCATTTTGTAGAGAGCAGTTCCATGACTAGATGCTTTGCTTGTTAATTTAGGTTTGGGGCTCTCTAAATGAAAATTCCTGGGATAAGCCAACTTGTGAAATATTTGGGAAAAGTGGTGAGATCTGCCCCTTTGTCCAGACTTTGCACACTAAAGTATTTACATATTCTGGACAAGCAGAAAGCAAGCCCTCATTCACCTCTCTTGCTGTAGGCATTGTGGAGAAATGTATCTTCAAATTTCACAACAGAGGCACAGAAATCTCAGCTGTTTTCTATAGAGAATAGAATCTTGACAGCCCTCTAATGTAACTACCAAGCATGTTCTTGTAAACCCACCCTTATAGCCTTTGTTGTAATGTTTGCGAAAATAATTACTTTACCGTAAATGCTAGAGAGATCAGGGATGACTTATTTTGAAGCCTTTTCACCTTTTGTTTAGAATATGTAAATACTTTGATGTCCACAGTCTGGAAACAGGGGCACTTGAAGGTTTCTCAGCTCGTGACGGTATGGACAATATCTCAAGTAGGGGAGGAACATCAGAAGAAAACACAGAATGAGAATTAGCTTATTAAAAACAATTTGAAAGGGAAAAAGGCTGACTCTTGACCTCTCAGGGCAGATGTGCTGGCTTTCCAGACAGTCAGGATTTGCAACCTGGTGGTGGGATTATAAAGTTATTTTACCATAGAATCCCACGGTGCTTCTTGTAGGTGCCAATTACCAATTCCTCTGACCACTGCTTTATAGTTTAGTAGTACTTTGAACTGGGTGGGATACCGATGCCGAGTTATTTGAAGTATATTTACATTGTCCTACCAGATTAATTTATTATTTGCACATTTCATACTCATTGCACTGCTTGTTTTATTTTCTGTAATTATAATTATTGGCATTGAGTTATTATTCCTCTTGTCACGCTTGGGTTTCTTTTATTCATAGTCTTTTGTTTTTTAGGTCAAAATTTAATGACACTTTCCCTCGACTTGATCCTCCTCCACCTGTTGTAAAGAAACGTGTCCCACGAGCACTGAAAACCACTCAAGATATGATCATTTCCCCAAACCCTGTACTCATCAGTCCCGAAAAAACGGCCATTTCTGCTGAGGTCAGATTGAATTTGGCCAGTGAAATTCCTGTTGAAACCGCAATTGACGAGGATGATTCACCCACAGTGAAATGTCAGCCAGGTTCCTTGCTCAATGGAAAAGTAAAGGACATAATTTTGGAGCAGACTGAGATCCAAAATGGAGTCCTTCCTGAGATTGCGCTATCTGTCCCTGACATTATTCACAAAGAGTCATTAGACACCAGTCTGAGAGAGCCTTCACCTTTCCAAGAAAAAGCCATGGTGAAGCTTTGTATCAGTCAAGAAGACTTAATAGAAGGGGAGGTCAATCATTCTGACTGGAGTTCCTGGCCAAAAAACTCTACTTTAGATGGTGATGGTCCCCATCCTGACCTTTTGTCCTTTGAGTAGATCTATATTTTGTAATAAGGACCTAGTCTTGTCACTGGAACCTGTACTATAAGCTGGCTTGTAAAATTTGCACTGCCCAAGTGGAAGAGGAGCCTAAGCGGGTGATGGTTTGATTGTCTTTTACCACTTCGTAAGGGACAGTGATTAGTTATGTCATCATGGCCAATATGTATATATTTTCTCATTTAACCATAACGCTGGCATACATTACATGCTCACTACTGGTCTTTAGATTGCTAATCGGCCTGTGTGTTATTCTCCGTGTTCATGTTTGTAGAGCAATAATAAGCAATCATTTTAAGCATTTCTCCCAATGCTCCAAAAATAATTTTTCACAGAATTGTACTATTTTTTTTATGAAAGACGATCATAGCTGTAGCACTTTAGGTGTCATTTTTAATGGAGTATAGCTGTCAAAATTAAATGAATATGAGTATGTAAATGGCTGACGGCCTTGGGTAATACCAACATGATTCCTTCCATACGGTTTTTATGAACGAGCCATCATTAAGCTGTGCGCACTTTTTCTGTGACGCTCGTAAGGGGTCCCACATTTCAAAATCACGAACCAGGCTGGTCCTTAGTGGTGTTTACTTTTGTAAGAACTACTGCTTCCTAGTTTGTTTGTTTTTCAACAACCTTAACACACATTTCAGTGATTTTCATTATTATATTTCCGGGAAAGGATTTCTAACAGAGTTATTAAGAAATATTTTGTTTAAACAGACTGTAGGTGCCTACTCAGTTCACATTCTGCCTCCTATTGATACAGTTTTCAGGCTGTCCATGACCACCAGCTGTAAAACTATGCCCTGAGTACTGAGATCTTTTGGGTACAGTCTTTTGGGGGTTTTTTTTTCTTATCACTGAAGTTGAACTCTCCACTGAATGTAAATGATAGTATGGTCATGGTTTTGCTAAAGCTTCATGGCACATGCATCAAAAATCTTTTTCATGGGCATCCAGTCTTTTAAGTGGGATCATAAAATACCCTTAGGAAGCAGGTAGAACTGTACTAAATTCCTATGTGTCAACTGGCACCTAAAGCCCCAATGTTGGCTGGTGTTGGACACTAAGGGAATGACAACATCACTCCCTCTGCCCTGTGACGATGCTTGGGCATAGCAACCAGCTGCTAGACTAGAGCAGTGTCACATGGGAGGAGGTCACATGGGAAAAGGTCACACGCTTCCCCATACTATGAAGCACCAGGTATTGTCGCCAGGTGCATTGGAGGAAGAAATTATGATGGCAAGGTGAGTATCAGCAGGTAGGGGGGGTGTATATGTACTTGAAGTACATATACATTTGAACTCCCTATCACACCTCATAACCAGGGGGGTGACCCCACCATTCACCACTATAGCTTTGCAACTTTCTTGTGCCACCAGTCCACCAACTATACAGTAGCATCATCACACTGCTGAGGTTCTTCCCATAATCTCCTTCTATTGTAAGCTGTCTAAACATTTGGCCGTCCAGCTACCAGTGGCTGGACACATTAGACTGACCGCACTGCAACGAATAGAGCATAATGTGCACCTTCCCACTATCAGTCCTATATCTGCTGTGCAGGTGATTGTGGGGAGACAATACAGAAATAGATTTCGGGCATACTAGCAGTATTTAAAATACATTTATTGATTTCTTTCTTAATGAATAGATCATTTGTCTAAATCTTTTATAGATTTCCCTGCATATCTTCTTTAAAGGGACCATTAAATCACATGTTGCCTTAAAACACCCACAGACTTAATAATCCAGTGCTAGGTATTTCTTCAAGGTTATTCAGAGATTGTAGAAGAATACAGCCAAATAAAATAACATGATCAAGCCACAACCAAAAAGTTCTCCCATTCTGTGGATGACATTGGTCTGGTTCTCTGATGCTGCCCATAAATAAAGTTGGTCATGGTCTGCTGTAAAGCTGGCGATACACTGAATTTCGGGCGAGTACTGCTGACTCAACTTAAATTCGAGCTGCGTGAGGCCCCACCGGCAAAACCCGGCTCAACAAAAGTTGGCTACATAATTGACTTTTGTTGAACAGTGACTGTAGCCAATCAATTGCCATCACTCTTTGGGTGTTTTAGCTGCAGTGGGTGGCAGCTGTCAGATTACAATAGCTCAGCATGGGAGATGCCTCCATCCACGCTGTTTAGTGTGGATGGGAGGAATCTGTTAGATTTATTTTGTTCAGTCTGCAAGCTAAATGTAAGAAATCTATAACGGTATGTTGGGTTAACTATGAACTGCTCAAGTTTAAGTTCAATAACTTAATAAATGTAAGTTTAATTATGGGCTGGCTTGGGTATGAACATGTCCTGATGGGTTTATGTGTATCTTGTGGGTAAAAGATATTTCCATGACTGGTCCTTTTTGATTTGTGAACCTTCTCATCAAAAACCATTTCTAAGCAATCCTGTCTACATCATTCCCCAAATTTAGATAAATTGCATTGTTTTAGCATGTCTGTCCTTGGAAATCTGAACAGGAAATTCATGATCAACAGGAATTGGCCACCGCATTTTAGAGGTTCACAGAATCCCCCTTCATTAGGGCTTATAAATCAGGCCCCTTCAGGAATGAATGTTTGAAGTTATTACATCGGACTATACTATGTGCAAGTAGAAAGCCATTTGGTCAGAACTATTGTTTTCTCATATCCAGGAGTCCGGGCATTCCTGAAGGGTCCTCATTTATAAGCCCGGCATCATTGGGGGGCATTTTACATGAATGTCTGTGTGCCTTTCTCGTATTACTTTCATGGAAGAATGTGATGAAATGCAATGATAATAGTTGCATTTTAAATGAACAAATATGACATGTTTTTACTATTTAAAAAAAAAATCAATTGTGTCCATATGTGTGCAGGGTCAGATTTCCCACAAGGCCTGGCCTTGGGGCAGCAGGGAGTAGAGGGGCAGCAAGGGGGTGGAATTCCTTTCTCCGGATGCCTGTGACATGCAGTTAAGGGTGCCGAGTGGGCAGTTGTTTTCTACATTTTTCCCTGCTTTGGGTAAGCAGGGCTAAATGTACAGTGGGTAAGCCACCGTTTGTTTTGTACAAGTGATCTCAGCTGAGCGGGGCGCATTGAAGAACCTGGCCTTGGGGCAGCAGAGAGAGTAAATCCAGCCCTGTGTGTGTGATGTGTTCTATTAAATCATTCAAATGTAACTATCAAGTTCTTCTATCCATACTGTGTAATAAATGACAGATAATAATAAGTGACAGATAATGTATGTTCATCAGGAGTGAGGGTCCCCTCCATGCTGCAACTTATAACCAGCTATTGGTTAGCCTGCCAAAATGGATTTTAGGTTTGTTGTCATTGTTTTTGCTTGTCGTCATGCTGCCCGAGGACAGGGTGACGAGATCTTTCATGCCTGCAATTTTGTCATATGGGAGTGTCTTCCGAACAATATTCTGCATGCCTGACTGGATCAGTGACCATGGACTGCCATAGGGCATAGGGGGGTGATCACGCCATTTTTAGCTCATTGAGGTATTTGAGTTGTGGGATATTCAGTTTGAAATGAATGTAAAACTTTTTCAATGTTTTTTAGATTAACGTGATAGAGACGAGTAGGATGTTAGAAAATCGTATCCTGATGTGTTAATGATTTATAAACCATTTCTATGTATAGTGTTTTAATTATATATATACTTGGAGACAGCCACATTTTCTGATTATATATGTACACGGGGACAGCCACATTATTTCTGGTTATATATGTACATGGGGACAGCCTTATTTTCTGGTTATATATGTACATGGGGACAGCCTTATTTTCTGATTATATATGTACATGGGGACAGCCTTATTTTCTGATTATATATGTACATGGGGACAGCCACATTTTCTGATTTATCTATGTGCATGGGGACAGCCACATTATTTTGAGTGGCCAGATTATTATGACCACCTGACGTTTGTAGGCAAATTAGATATAATTTCGCGCTGAAGTTGCTAGACGGTCAGACCATTATAAATAGGGAAGCAGATTGTTTACCACGACAGTAGAAGTGATTTGTTTCTGAAGATACGGGTAAACAACGCGATTTAACAACCTTTGAACGTGGGATGTGTCTTACAGCTCTTTCTCTCAATATAAGCCCATGGGTGGACATAATACAATGCACTCCCTGGGTGGCTGAAATCTTATGTGAGCAAATAAAGACTAAAGCTGGCCATACGCCAGTAGAATTTAGTTTCAAATAATAATTTTTTAGAATGTTCATTGGATTTTCCACTAGTTAGCGGGAAACAAATTTCCACCGCATTGACGAAAAAAATTGAAGTAGAGGGAAGGTTTTGTCAAATTAATAAAATTAACAGTGAAATGTGGTTTTTGTTCAAGAAACTCCATTCATATCCAGATATGGACCAACCGTTATAGGGATGGAGGAAGTAACCAATGGACTGCAAATGTGGTGACTTTACCACACATGTGCTGCATTAAGATCTATGAGTCTGCCCCAGTGACGGATCTGTGATTGGAGGTTGCAGCTGTACTGAACCAATAAGAGCTGCAGGGGACCCAGGAGATCTGACACTCCCAGAAAAGTTGTTTTTCTTTTGGAACTTCAGAGGAAGAATTCTCAGCGTTGGGGCAATGTCCAGTAGCACAGGCTGCATGAAAAGTAAGGGCCTGTACACACTAGCCTGTCCACCAAAACTCTGCATTTTAGCAGATGGGCTAGTGCATTGTTGCAGCTCCAGCAGTGTGCGTTGTATCTCACACTGGCAGAGCTGTCCTGCTTAGTTTTTTAAGTAGTATTAAACACTCAAAATAATTTCAATAATCAATCCAGAATAAAGAAATATGCATTGCCCAGCAAAGTATTTCAATACATTTTTGTCTAAACACTTAGTCATCATGTTTTAGATCAGCTGGCTCCAACTCTCTGTTCTGCTTTCCTAAACCTTCTGTCCAGTACAAGATCACAAGGGAGCATCTCCAGCAGCTGTCCATCAACTAGCCAGGAGAAGAGATGAGGGAGAGAGGAAGGAGGAGTGGGATTAGACCAAAGGAGTGGCTTGCCTTGCTGTGCCTTTGTGTTTGTAGACAGCTTACTAGCACACATAAGAGTGGTTCTATAGGACCCTGCATGGGAAAGGAGCCACCCTAAGAGGGCAAGT